TGGTGAAACATACTCAAATATATGTAATTTTACCTGAGAAGCTTGTGTCCATTGGTGGTAGCCACTTCTGCAAGACTGGTCAAGATCCTGTGGTAATGACTATCACTCTGCTGAGAGACATGTTCCAGAACCTGCCTGAGCTACACAAACACAAACACTCGTAACTAATCTGAAGTGTAAAATAGATTTCTGTGTGAAATCAGATACAAATTCTGATACCATGTTCTCCTTAATGTCATTATTCTGCGTCATCTGGATGAGGGTCAAGAACAGCCTGCTATGGTGCTGGATGAGAATCTCACAGGTTTCTCCATATCCTCCCTGAGGGCGGGAGAAAAAACTCAAAGCAGAGTAACACAAACCAAACAACGACAAAATACTTAAAAATGAAATACTCACCTGCACACAGACATCCAGTGGAGTGATTCCATTGTTGTCAGCGATGTACTTGGCACCTCGCGAGAGAAGGATCTGGGCTGTGTCTCTCTGGCCATGGCTAAAGAATAATACAGGATGAGTTTCAATACAGCTGGATTCAAACGCAAAGCTAATCTGCTGGTGCATTTGTAATCCCGAAGACTCAAGATGAAGTGTAAAAGAGCTAAGAGCACGCTCAGTATCACTACTATTATTGTTATTATGACTGATGACATTACCTGCAAGCAAAGTAAAGAGGCGTTGCTCCAGAGACGTTTGGTCGGTTAATGTCAGCTCCACTTTCCAGAAGACAAAGCACTGTCTGAACAGATATGATACATGCTCATCTCACATGCTGGAAATATTTATTATTAGAACAAGAAAACAGGAGCTCAGCAATCAGTAACACAACAGAACTGGTTTGCAGTGCACTGGGGATTTACATTGCCAAATGGTTTCTAGATACTTCCTTTATGGCTGCAGATGTTATTTTCAGTCTGATGGAAGATTTCAGGTTTGAATTTGATTGAGAAAAAATGTTTATCAAATAAATATGTAGGTATTTAGTATTCTACACTATTGCGTGTTGAGCAACAGGTCAGACGTGTCTGCCATGGAATGAATAAGATGAGACCGGATGAGAAATCGATAGATTAGCTTTTGAATATGGCTTGTCCACTTTACCTGGGTCCACCTGAGCTGTCCATAACAGAATACTCTGACCACACGTATGGACCCAGCAGATCGCACAGACACTTCTCCCAACACGTTACTCCAGAAACACGAGGAGTCACTCTCCATGTTAACCAAACAGTTTCACAAATCAGAGAAATGGGCGATGAATGATGCGCTGACACTTGCTAGATTAGTTCTGCCGGTCCTGGCTAGTGCTCCCCCCCCCCCGCCCACCGTCCACAGCATCCGTTCCACAGACTCGCAGTTCTGACGGTGAACCCACCCGGCTGGGTTGCTGCGGAAGTTTTCTGATTCAGTGCTCCTTGTTTTTCCCAACGGTTCCCTCAGATGTTTTCTGACGATGCCACTAAGTTAGCTCTAGTAATCAGCTCCCTTCATGACCGTTTCCTGTGCTGGGCCATAAGGATAGATAACCGCCTTCCCGAGAGAGAGCAAAAGAGGGAGCAGGTCCCGCGTGGGGTTGGGTGGGAGCGCAGGTGAGGACAGACCCCTGCAAAATCAAGGCAATAATAGAATGACCAGCTCACTCCACAGGCAAACAACTGCAGAGATTTCTAGGACTCGCTAACTTTTATCATCGGTTCATTACAAACTACAGCCAGGTCACACTCCGTCACCAGACTCACTTCTCCCACTCAAGTTTTCACTCAAGAGCTATTTTGCACCGCACCCATCCCAACACCTCCAAACAATTTATTGTGCAGATGGACGCTTCTGACACCGGCGCAGGGGCTGTGTTGTCTTAGAGCTCAGAATGTGACAGGCACCTTCAGGTTTAATTTCACCATTTCTTACCAACCCGGTTCTCGCAACACTAAACCCGATGCTTTGTCCCGCCAGTTCTCCCCAGGATCCAACTCCGTTGAACCCGAGACTATTCTGCCTGTGTCCTGCATTGTGGAGGCCATGATGTAGGAGATCGAGACTCTTGTGCACCGCAATTAGCACGGGGCACCCGGCCCTGGTTCCAGCCCTCCTGGCAAATAATAGGTCCTGCCGACTCCTAACAGGCACTCGCAAATTTGATCATATCTCCCCAATCCTGGCACGTTTACACTGGTTACCAGTACGTCGTAGAATCGACGTCAAGATTTTGTTGTCTTTAAATCTCTGAGTGGATTAGCTTCATCTTATCTCTCTGACCTTTAACAAAAATAATGCAAGTAGAGTCCTCAGGTCTGCAGATAAGTTGCTTCTGACCATCCCCAGAACTAGACGAAGAAACAGAGGTGAGCGAGCTTTTGGGATCGCTGCACTCAAACTCTGGAACAGTCGGCCTTCACATTAGGTCTTCACCAACACTCGACATTTTTAAAACCTGGTTGAAAACACATTTGTACTCTCTAGCTTTCAATTATGACGAGTCTTCTATAGTAATTACTATGTATGTTTACTATTTTATCTCTGCTGTGTACAGCACTTTGGCTCAACCCATGTTATTTTTAAATGTGCTTATAAATAAATTTTGATTTTTTGATTTGAACTCTTCAGCTACTGGTTTTTCCCCTTTTGAAATCAGTCTCGGTTACCACCCACCACTACTTCTACTTCCTTCTGAGGAAACGGAGATCGCAGCCCCATCTGTGCAGGAACAGAGCGGTGCTGCTCCGGCTTTGCAGTACAGAACCTGCGCCTCGTGGATTGGAGAAGGACCCCAACTCTTCACTACACCGCTGGCCAACAAACATTCCTCTTAAATGCATGTCCAAGAAGCTGGCTCCACCCTTTCTAGACCCTTTTATTATCCAGCCCATCATTAACCCAGTTTCCGTTCGGTTGAGGTTGCCCTCGTCCATGAGGGTCCACTCCTTCAGGGGGGTACTTTTAGGACTTGGGACGGCGTGAGTTATTGTTGGGCTGTCATTTCCTTTTTTCAGAGCAGGCGGCCAGGGCTCCCTCGGGACTCCCCAGCACACCTGTAGAGCATCAGGCGTCATCAGCCGGGGCAATTGAAGGAGCAGCGCGGGTCACGCCTGGTGTCACCCACAAGTGGTACATGTTCGTTGTACTGAGACTCAGATTCTACGACCAGAAAAGTGTTTATGAAGATCTTTCTGGCCTGTCTTCTGTCCTCCAGCTTGCCTCGCTTCCTCAGCCGCCAGTTCACCTCTCGGACCTCGTCTCCCTCTGGATATCCATTCCCCCGTCAACCTGCGCCGCCACCAACCCGCACTCATCTCGCCTCACCCACCAGCTCCTCACACCCCCATCAGAGCCTGTAAACAAACTTGTGACACGTAAGCTCTTCAACTCTCTTACCTCACATAACCCACATCCTCCTCTCACGGTGTCCGTACACTAATCACTGCTCACTTCTCTTTTCCATAGAATACTCGAGTATTTCTGCATGACATCCATGGTAGCTCATACTGAAGGCTTCACAATCGTACTGTAGTTAAATTAGATTCAGTTTTATTTATATAGCACCAGATCACAGCAACAGTTGCCTCAAGGTGCTTTATATTGTAAGACAAAGACCTTACAATAATACAGAGAAAACCCCAATTCTATCAAACCTCTATGAGCAAGCACATGGTCCCAGTGGGAAGGAAAAAACACCCTTTTAACAATAAGAAACCTCCAGCAGAAACAGGCAGGGGCACTCAGTTGGGGGTGAGGGGAGAGAGATTAAATAGTAAGTAATTTAATTAAATGCAGAGTGGTGTGTAAGTACTTAGACAGTCCAAATGGTGAGTGAGGATCTATATGTTTATGTCAAAAATAAATGTTTTAAGCCTAATCATAAAACTAGACATGTCTGTCTCCCGAATCCTAACTGGGAGCTAATTCCCAGGAACCACAAGTAAACGAGCAGTCTGTGGTCTGCTGGAGTGATATAGCACTGTGAGGACTTTAAGGTAAGATGGGGCCTGATTATTCAAGATCTTGTTGAACCAAAGACAATATACTGAACAAATGAACGAAGATGCAGACAATCACGCACACACCTGGAGCAAGTAATGTGATTACTAAGAGGCTGCTAAAGCTGACATGTGCTGCCAAGTTTTGATCCCTGTGCACTAACAAGCAGTTTATATATTTAATTAAAAAGGTTGCTTCTAATTTGCTTACTGTTTTGTGTCCGTTTTGACAGGCTACATGTAGGGCTGTCTGGCCCATGGCGTCTTCAACATCCACATTGGACACATGCTGGACCAGATCGTGCAGGAGCTCTGTTCGCCCATTTACTGCTAACCAGTGGATCTACATTAGAGGTTACAGTGTCACTATCTCAACTACAGGAGTTCATTAAACATCAATCATTTATGATTTAACAAGAGGATTCTTGTCAACTCACAGCAGTCAGGCCTTCATTGTTACAGATATTGACGTCGGCATTATATTCCAACAGTTTCCCCATACACTTCTTCTGTCTGAGGGAACAGTATAGGAAATGGTTTAGTGTCACTGGGCCTCATTTACAAGGAAATGTTCTTACCCCGTGCAAAAAATTAATTTGCACATTACCATGCATATGTTAATAAATCAGAATCTTTTGGGGCCAAGAGCCTTGTACAATCTGCACATTAGGGGTGGCTGTAGCTAAGGAGATCTAGCAGGTCATCTAATAATTGGAGGGTTGGTGGTTCAATCCCTGCTCCAGTCTACATGTAATATATCCTTGGGCAAGATACTAACCCCGAGTTGCTCTCAGATGCATCCATTGGAGTAGGAATAGATTAGAAAGCACTTGCATAGAAAAAAAAGTATTGACATGGATGGATGAAATAGGCAAGTTGTATAAAGTGTTCTGATAGAGTAGAAAAGCACTATATAACAACATGTCCCTCCATTTCTTTATATAAGGAAACACATTTTGCTCCAGGCGAAGCAGAGAAAGTTGTAAGAGTGAACCCTGCACCTCTAAGGCTTCATTTAGATTTCTGCCAGTAATCTAGATTGTAACATTGTAACAGGAAACCCTACATCATGAGCTTCGACGTAACCCGAACTGCAACACCCGAGAAATGTGACTACATGTCGGGTTGACGTGGCTGATGTTTTATTATAATGTTGAATCTTTTGTGGCTTGTTTTATAAAAGTGTAATTAGACTAACAGGTAAAAATAAAAATTCATATTGTTACAAATGTTAACAACAATAATAACAATATTAGTAACAATATTAGTAGTAGTAGGATTTATTTTAAAGACTTGCGTTTAAATTGAGAAGGCAGCCAGGTTAACATTCGCTCACATGCATGATCAGAGGGACTGTTTCTAAAGTACAAATAGATTCTGGTATGAAATATTGATAAATCGCTGATTTATGCTTGAAACGCTTTCATACATGACTTAACCACAGATTTGTGATTGGTCTTTCATCAGCCTTTCTGTTTTACAGATTTAAACCCCATGACTCAGATTTTGCCATCTTAAGGTCCATCGACTGGAAGTAAATATGCATAAAGATAAAGGCTTGTGAAAACGGCACTTAAAAGAAAGTGATTCATCCAGTTTCTTCAGTTCCACTCAGCATTTCATAAACAGTCCTTACAGCACCAATCC